GTTGTTGTTGTTGTTAGTTGTGTTAGTTGTGTTGTTGTTGTTGTTGTTGTTGTTGTTGTTGTTGTTGTTGTTGTTGTTGTTGTTGTTGTTGTTGTTGTTGTTGTTGTTGTTGTTGTTGTCGATGATGATCGTTGTTGTCGTGTTCCCTTCGTGCTGTTCTGGAAGTGTCACGGGGGTTTTATCAGTGGCCCGCAGTGAATTCTGTTTGCTCTCGCCTTGTTTATCCTTTCCCTCCCTGGCCCCTCAACCCCCCCCCCCTTGCACCAAACTGCAGCTTGAGGACGCTCTCTCGTGCATCCAGAAAGTGCTTGCAAGCACGACGTTGACGGAGGAAATGCGACAGGCGCTCATTAAGATTGAACAGGTCCTCACGCGCTGGCCCATCTCAGGTAAGCACGCACGCACATGAACACACGCACACAGTTGCGCATGAACACACGCACGCACGCACGCAGTCACACATACACACGTACACACTTGCGTACACAAGCACTTGCGCATGCACACATACATGCACTCGCTCGCACACTTGTTTCCTCACTCACACTCCCTCACTCATACGCTCACCCTCCCCTCCCACGCGCAAAGGCATCAACCGAAAGCTGCAGGTGAAACCGATTGTCGACAGCGAAACGCACGCGCTCAAAGGTGTGAAGCTCGTGATGAAATGGGGCGGCGAGCTGACACCGAGCGGATTGCATCAGGCACAGCGCGCCGGACAAGACTTCCGGGAGCTCATGTACCCGCGGTCCACAGACATGAACGGGCTGCTGCGGCTGCACAGCACTTATCGCCACGACCTCAAGCTCTACTCCTCAGACGAGGGCCGTGTGCAGATGACAGCAGGTGTGTGCGTGCGTGAATGTGTGTGTGTGTGTGTATGTGTGTGTGTGTGTGTGTGTGTGTGTGTGTGTGTGTGTGTTCGTTTCGTTTCTTTACACTGTGTATCTGTCAGGCTGTCTACACCCACCTGCCTGACCATCCAGCCACATACCTGTGTCTGCCTCAACATTCACCGATCCTGGTCACCCCTCACCACGCATCCCCCCTCCTCAATCACCATGCGAGCAGCTGCGTTTGCGAAGGGCCTGCTGCAGCTTGACGGCGAGATCACGCCCATCCTCGTGTCTCTCGTGCGCAAGGACCAGGCAGTGAACATGCTGCTGGACGAGACGAAGGCCGCACGAGAGGATATGGATCGCGTCAAGCAGACGATTGGCCGCCTGCTCCTCGAAACGAAGGACTGGGACCACGCAAAGCAACAACTCGTCCCAGACAGGGTCCGTTTGTGTGTGTGTGTGTGTGTGTGTGTGTGTGTGTGTGTGTTGTGTGTGTGTGTGTGTGTGTGTGTGTGTGTGTGTTTGTATTTAGGCAGCCTGAGACGTGTGTGCTTACTCGAAGCAAGGGAACGACTGAGCATGCCTGGGAAGTCGCCCCCGATGCAAATGGTGTGGACGTAGTCAAATTACTGGGACCGTAGATGATAATTGCGCACTGTGGACCAGCATGATATGTTACCACCCCCCATGAATGTTGGATGACATCCCTAATTTTACGTGGCATTCTTTTCCATTCGACTAATGCCAGTCCGCTAACTCGTGCGAGAGTAAGTCCGCGAATGGCCAGGTGAACTCGGTCCAGAATGCCGGCGACGGATGGCAGGACAAGTATGGTGTGTACATCAGACGCTGTAGTGAAGACATGAGGAGAATCAGTGCTCGTTCCTTTGGAGTATTTGAGGTCCCATCGTCAGACCACGTGTGAACGATACCCACACTTCCAGATAGCGGACGCCTCCTCTATATCATGGGACGGCCTAATGAGTGTGTGTGTGTGTGTGTGTGTGTGTGTGTGTGTGTGTGTTGTTGTGTGTGTGTGTGTGTGTGTGTGTGTGTGTGTCTGATTGTCTGATTGTCTGTCTGTCTATGCGCGCGCGTGTGTGATTGCCTTGCTGTGTGTGATTGCAGCAGTGAGCTGAATGGTGTCAATTCATCTTTCCTTCCCACCCACACCATCACACACATCCACATCCTCGTGTGCAGAAGCTGTCGCTGTCTGTAGAGGCGCAACTCGATGCGATTTCGAGCGGACGGGAGGCAATGCAGGACCTGTATGAGCAGCTGACGTCAATGGTGAAGGATCTTGATCGAAAGATTGCAGAGAACCCTTCCATCCCCGTCTACAGGGTACGAACGAACCAGGGTTTGGCCAATAGCTTGAACGATTGGTGAAACGTGGGCATGGTTGTGTGCATGGTTGTGTGCATGGTGCGTGATGGTGTGTTTCTGGTGGTAAGAATACCATTGTCAAGCCAGGTTCTGAATTGTTGCTGCTGGTGCATCAACAAAGGACACACGCACGCACGCACGCACACGCACACCAACACTGACGCAACCATGGTGCGTGTCGTGTGTGGTGCAGGGTGAGCCCGTGGGTTTGCTGCAGCGGCGCTGGCACAAGCTGCAGGAGGAGTTTTACGATGCGAAACACGACACGTTTGTTGTGAGCAAAATCCCGGACATCTATGATAGCGCCAAGTACATGGTCCTGCACAACTCCCATCTCGGCCTCTCCCAGATGGAAACCGTCTTCTCCCTCTCAAAGGTGTGTGTGTGTTTGTTTGTTTGTTTGTTTGTTTGTTTGTTTGTTTGTTTGTTTGTTTGTTTGTTTGTTTGTTTGCGTGCGCGCGCATGTGTGTGTCTGTGTGTCCGTGTGTGTCTGTGTCTGTGTGTGTGTGTGTGTGTCTGTGTGTCTGTGTGTCTGTTCCTTACATCCCCTCGTCTTCTGTTCTCCTCTTGTCTACCCTCACCCATCTGCCTCCACCACGCCACCTCCCCACTGCAGACGTTGGCGGACGTGGTGGTGCCGCAGGAATACGGGATCACACGCGAGGACAAAATTGCCATTGGCCGCAACATTTCCGGACAGCTGCTGCGAAAGGTGCAGTCATACAGGCAGAGAGACAGAGTGACAGAGAGGAGGGGGGACTGGGGACAAAGGAAAGAGAGGGGGGCGGATGATGTTGATGGCTACTGCACGTGCATACGACCGCATTGTGGCAGCGAATCGGACACACACACACACACGCACACACGCACACGCACACACACGCACACACACACACACACACACACACACACACACACACACACACACACCGTTCAGATGGTACATGACCTGAAAGTTGCTGCGGGGAAGGAGACGACGCATCAGATGTTCCAGCACGAGGTCTCGCACCGGCTGGACAGCGGCCGTGACAGCTTCATCCACGTACGATGATGGTGATGGTGGTGGTGGTGGTGGTGGATCATTGTCTTTGGAAGTGATGTGTGCTTGCCTTGCATGGCTTTGTCTGGGCATGTGGCGCTACATGCTCCCTCACACACAAACACACACTCACAACAACAACAACAACAACAACAACAACAACAACAACAACAACAACAACAACAACAACAACAACAACAACAACAACAACAACAACAACAACAACAACAACAACAACAACAACAACACACTCGCAACAAATACGGCAGGTCCGCACCCCCGATCGCAATGTGCGCACGCGGCTGTACTTTACGAGCGAGAGCCACATACACTCGATGCTGAACGTGATGCGGTGCGGCGATTACGGCCTCTTTGGCCACAAGTGGATCCAAGGTGGGCACTCGCTGCTGCTGCCTTCTGTGTGTGTGTGTGTGTGTGTGTGTGTGTGTGTACACGTGTGTGTACACGTGTGTGTACACGTGTGTGTACACGTGTGTGTACACGTGTGTGTACACGTGTGTGTGTGTACACGTGTGTGTACACGTGTGTGTACACGTGTGTGTACACGTGTGTGTACACGTGTGTGTACACGTGTGTGTACACGTGTGTGTACACGTGTGTGTACACGTGTGTGTACACGTGTGTGTGTGTGTGTGTACACGTGTGTGTGCATGCGCTCACCCTTTCTCATTTTCCCACCGCTGACGTACCACGTCGCCCTTGTGCCGCATCGCCAGATTTCCAGCGGGAGCGCCGAGAGCGACAGAAGACGGAGACGGGCGCACATGTCAACGACGAGCACAACGGCGCCGATGGTGATGTTGATGTTGATGGTGATGGTGAGAAGCAACAACAACAACAACAACAACAACAACAACAACAACAACAACAACAACAACAACAACAACAACAACAACAACAACAACAACAACAACAACAACAACAACAACAACAACAAGAGGAGCAAGCCCGTGTGCAAACACATCAGCAGCGGAAGCAGCGGAAGCACAAGCGCCGCCCCCGTCGCTCCAAGTCCGCTGGTGCTCCTGTTGATGACGACGACGACGACGATGATGACGGCGATGGTGATGGCAGTGACAATGGAGGCAGCAGCACGGCTGAGGAAGACGATCAAGGATTGATGTTTGACAGAGGCGTTGTGTGTGAGGATGACAGCGACGAAGAGGACTCCGACCACGAGGGCTGCTGCACGGGCGAGGTGCACGCTGGGTTCCCCACAATGCCAACACCACCCGGTCGCTCGTGCGGTTACAGAACATGGTGCTCCGGCACGGTGAGCGCGGTGGCTTGCGTGATGCGCTGTGTGTGTATTGTGTGTGTGTGCATGTGTGTATTGTGTTGTATTTGTGTGTGTGTGTGTGTGTGTGTGTGTGTGTGCGCGCGCGTGTCAGGCTCGCTATTGCTGCCTCTCCATACCCTGGTACATTACCTCATCTTGCCCCTCCACACCACGCCAACATCCCTGCCCACCCTTGCCCATTAGCGCTATCTCTCCGAGAGCTCTGAGCTCAACTACCTGTCGCAGGTCGTGTGCCGCCTCTTTGAGCGCCCGTGTCTCCCAAAGGACGATCCAAACCGCTTCTTCGTCGAGTGGCTCATCACCAACGGCACCCCGCTGGTGTGTGTCTGTGTGTCTGTGTGTCTGTGTCTGTGTGTGTGTGTGTCTGTGTCTGTGTGTGTGTGTCTGTGTGTCTGTGTGTCTGTGCTGATATCTTTGCATCTCCGTTCCCCTCCACCCCTCCGTTTCTCGCCTGCATCTGTTCGCTTGCCCGTCGTCCATTACCCATTTTCTCTGCTCTCATCCCCCACTCACCACCTCGCCACCTTCCACCACCTTCCACCAGTCTGACCTGCCACCCGTCCCTTCGCGTGGAGAGTCCCCCGGCTCCTCCTCCGACGGCGACAACGGTGACGATGACCGCCCGCCCGTCTCGCCATATGTTGTCCTCCATCCGGGCCTGCCGCTGCAATGCCTGGAGGCGTTTTTCCGCAAGTTTTATCCGGCGCACCAGGACGACTCGGACTGGGCAACCTTCAAATGAAGAGCGAGATGTGTGTGTGTGTGTGTGTGTGTGTGTGTGTGTGTGTGTGTGTGTGTGTGTGTGTGTGTGTGTGTGTGTGTGTGTGTGTGTGTGTGTGTGTGTGTGTGTGTGTGTAAGGTTTCGCGCTCGCTCTGACGCGTGCTTCTCCCCCTTGCCTCCTGCACCAATATCTGTCGTTAGCCCTCCCGTTGCTGCTTCATAAGTTGTCACACTCGTGCATTGTAATGTAAACGCCGATCAAACCAACAACGTCGAACCACGCATCGACAACGTAAGGAAAGCCACACAAAAGGGAAACGGCTGAAGAAGGAAGAAAGACACCTCTTGCACACAAGAACACGACCAGGCAGCAAAGCAACACGTGATGGGATGTGACATTGCATTCAGAAGTCATCATCGTCATCGTCCCAGTCGTCGTCACTGTCGTCGTCGTCGTCGCTGCCGTGCACGGCCTTGCTGCGCATCTTCATGGCCATTGCAAGCGCACTCGCCAACCTGAAGGGCATCGAGTGAGTTGTGGGAGGTGGGGGAGGTGAGACAGGCTTGGAAAAGTAGCGCAACAATGCAAGCGATACGCACATATGCAACACATACTTGAGCAAACAGCGCACACCACCACAACACTAAACAACACCAACAACAACACCACCACCACGTTGCTCGTACCCATCGAGGCCGCCGCCACCACCGCCGCCGTCCTGAGCAGCGCCGCCGGACTGCGACTGCTTTCCTCCGGCCATGGGCGAAATCTTCTTCTGGTGGTCCTCAACCTTGCGCAGGGACTTGCCACCACGAATGGCAGCCAGCAGGTTACCGCGGTCGTCAGAGGGAGCGGGCCGGCTGGCGTTGGTTTCGACTTTGTTCAGCGACTTGCCTTGGCTGATGGAACAACAAAAACAGGGAGAGAAGACAGAAGAAGAGGGAGGGAAGAGGAGAAGGGACAGTGTGTTGAGGAAAGCGAGTGGAGCAAGGTGTTGGAACGAGGTTGGGACGATCATGAGGTCATCACATCACGCACAGCATGTGAAGTTGTGTTCTTGACACCAAGCACAAGCATGTGCCTGCAAGCACAAGTGTGCGAGCACTGCATGACGTACTGGATCTGCTGCAGAAGACCGCCGCGGCCACCAGAGGGAGCCGGTGGTGGTGGCGGACCACCCATACCCCCTGATGGTGGAGGAGGAGGTGGTGGCCCACCCATGCCGCCTGACGGCGGTGGCGGCGGCGGCGGCGGTGCACCACTTCCCATCGCAGGTGGTGGTGGAGGGCGGGGTGCGCCTGCCCCCATGCCTGGTGGCGGGGGTGGCGGTGGCGCCCCTGTACCCATTGGTGCAGGTGGCGGCGGCGGCTTGTTTGTCTGCGGTGGTGGCGGTGGTGGTCCACCACGGCCCGGGGGTGGGCCAGCTGCAGGGTATGGTTGGTGAGGTTGTTGTTGGTGAGTTGGTTGGTTGGGTGATGGGATAGTGCGGAACAACAATAGGACGTGCTGAAAATTGCCCAGCAAAACAAGAAGGGGGCCGGGGTTATGGAGCATTGGGCAAACGCATGTGCTGCCGGCAGTGAACAGCAAAGAGCAATTGGGGAACAGTGCACGCACGAGGTTTGGTTGTCTGGGGCGGGGGTGGTGGTGGGCCGCCGCGGCCTGTGCACGTCAGACAGCAGAGGGGTGATGCGCAACAGGGGAGGTGAGAAGCACGTGTGCAATGTTCACGCTCCATGCAGGCAAGAGGGTGAAATGATGAAAGGATGAAAGAAATAATATGGCACACATGACACGTAACACAGGATCAGCAGCAAAAGGAGCGAGAAACGCACTTTGCATCGGTGGTGGCGGCGGCGGTGCACTACAGTGGGGTGAACAAGGGCGTACACATGCGAGGTGGGGGGTGATGTGAGGTGAAGTGAATGGTTAAATTGCGGTAGAGGCAAGAGAACAAGGCGTGAGACACCACTGCAACACGCGACACCACCACAACACATGTGCAAGTGTGAAAGCAGACGCTGCTGCCAGAGCGTGTCACCTGCGCTGGCCGTGCGATGGCGGCGGTGGCGGTGGTGCGTTGGATCGGGGCGGGCCTGCAACAGTTGGTGTCATTCACGAACACATATAGTACACGCAACATGTGTGAGAAGGCAGGCTCAAGACAGAATTAAACCAAGCACGAAAACACGCACAAACAAGCAAGCACACGAAAATACACACACACACACACACACACACACACACACACACACTCTCTCTCTCTCTCTCTCTCTCTCTCTCTCTCTCTCTCTCTCTCTCTCTCTCTCTCTCTCTCTCTCTCTCTCTCTCTCGCGATCACTCACACGCACGCACACGCACACACACACACACACCTCGCGAGTACGCTGGAGGGGCTGGGGGAGCGGCGGGACGCGGAGCCGATGGCGCCTGGGAGGTGGCAGGCTGCAGCGCACAGCAACGAGAGGAGGAAACAGCGTAAGAATGAGCCGTGGTGGCAGTGGCGATGGGAAGGAGCTCGAACACAGCGCATGGAACATTGACGACAACAGGACCAAACATGACAACAACAACATCCCCACCGATGATCTTTCGTTGCACACGCACGCACACGCGCACGCACGCACGCAGATACACATGCAGATACGCACACACATGCAGATACACACGCACACACGCGTGCGCCACAGATCCCTGACCGGAAGGCCGCCGGCGCTGTTGACAAACTCCTCGACAAACTTGCGCGTGTCCTCGTCCTTGAGCTGGTCGTGGGAGATGCCGGCCTTCTCAAGCAGTTCGTTCCACTCGCCAGGGATGTTGCTTGCATCAAAGTTGCCCTCAGAGTCAAGGCCAATGTGCCCAAGATGCTGCATTGCGTCATGTACGTGATGGCGTGTTGTTGGAGGTTGGTGGGTGGGGGTGAATACAGAGCAAAGTGATGGGGTGCACTGAAATACGAGCACACGCACACACACTCACTCACAACAACACACAACACACGCAAACGCACACACACTCACTCACAACAACACAACACACACACACACACGCACGCACACTCCCTCACAACAACACACAACACACACGCACGCACGCACAATCACTCACAACAACACAAAACACAACACACACGCCATCATATATGAAGACGTACGCGGAAGTTTGAGGGCCCGCCAATCATGCTCTTGTCGAGCTTTGGGCGGCCTTTGCCTTTGCCCTTGCCCTTCTTCGTGCCCTTGCTGCCCGAGGAGGTGGTGCTGGACGTGGACACGCCGGAGAACGGCTGGACAGACGACGGTGACGACTGCGGGTACGACGGGGGTGGGCCCGATGAGGAGAGGGACATTGGCGACGGGCGGGGTGAGGGCGTGGACATGCCGACCGAGCTGCGCGGGGGACCGGGGGCTGGCGGTGGTGGCGATGAAAAAGTGGTGACAATGATAAGGTGGAGGTGAATGTGATGGCGATGGTGAGGAGGAAGTGAGTTGCTTAGTTTTGTGTGAACGCAGGACACGGCGGACAAGTGTAACGAAGATCGTGCATACGCAAACACACATGCTCTCACGGTCGCACACTCCCACGTGCTCATACACACATGCGCGCACCTTTGTCCTTCTTGGCTGTACATGCATCACCGGGCGACAGTGTCGCCCAAATATACGCGTGCATGCGAAAGGAGTCCATGTGAGTCATTGGTTGCCAGCGATAAAGATGAGCATCGACAGAAACACGATCATCGCATGAAACATGATGCCATCAATGCATGAAACATGATGCCCAATCAAGCAACGTGCAACAACATACGCTTGATCTTGCGCAGAGTGCGGCGCCTGAATTCGCGCGCTTCCTCATCCGTGATGCAGTTGATGACCACGGGGCAGCCCTGCCAAGAACGAAATGCAGGTAAGCAGCAGCGGCGGTGTGAACACGTCGTTGGTTGTGTGATCGCATGCGAGCGCGTTGGGCGTGGCGTAATTGCGGTGCGGTGGCGTGCGGAATGAAACCGCCCAAACGCATGACACGACACACGACAACACAGCGCACAGCACAAAATACACAACACAACGCACCGTTGGATCGAAGAACTGAAGGACGGTGGGGTTGGCCCTCTTGCGCTCAAACCGGAGCTCGTAAAAGAGACTCATGCCAAAGAGTTGGGCACGCGAATCAATGTCCACGAAGCGCATGGTGAAGTTCCTGCGCGCCGGTTCCTTGACCAGGCACATGACCCCTGTACGAGCGAACAAGCAAGAGCATGAGAGGGTGAACGAACGTGAATTGTGGGAAGAGAAGCTGGGGTGTGGTGTCAGCGAGTACGGAGCCAAGGTGGCTGTTGGTGTGGTGGACACATGGCGTGGGAGCAATGGCAATGGCTAATCATGCCATGGGATGTGCTCACCAGTGCCCACGTGGTCCCAGCGGCCAAGGTCACCGCGGTACAGCTGCGCAGCAACCATAACCATGGCCTAACAAATAACACACACGTTGGTCGTGAGCGATACGAATGTTAACAAACGGAATTGGTGACGATCCATGTAGGGGAAGAGGGGGGGGGGTGATGCACACATACGCACACCCACACGCATACACCCAAAGACACACACGCGCGCACACACAAACACATACACTCACGCACACAAGCACATACACACATACACACAAACACACATAAAGATCAAAGTCACTTTGAAATCTGACACTCCCACACCACACCGCCATCATCACACCAGCAGCACCACCCACTTTGTTCTTGCGGCCAGAGGGATCGTTGGAGATGACGCCCTTGACAACATCCTTGTCTGCTTCCGTCAAGCAGCTGGAGATGTATGCCTGGGGCTTCTTCTTCTGCCCCGGTGGTCCACCACTCATGCTGAACTCAGTGCTGGTTTGAGATTGATCGGGTGTGCTGGGGTGCGGATATGGATGCTGTTGACTGGCTGGAACTGCTCATCCACCAACAACAAACAACAACAAACAACACCAGCTGGCTTCGGATGGGGACGATTTACTAATATCTTCGTATCAATTTCTGCAGCGCAGGATGGTGGGGTATTTTTGGATGGCGGCGACCGCTTGCGGCTGATCGATGAAGAGGGAGTGGGGGAGGTGTGGTGCGTGGGTGTTGAAGGCATTGATGGTTTGGCAGATGTCCTGCCCAGACAGCTCCCTGTACACCTCAGCCATGGAGCGTGCGTCCAGCGCATGCTCTGAACATCCAAACGCAAGGAAAATGGGAGAGAGCGAGAGAGGGATGGGGTGAGAAAGAAGCGCAAGTGCTACAAGTGGTGGTGGCGATGGTGACGGTGACAACTCCAATGCAGTGGTGATGCTGTGATGGATGGCGATGGCGGCGGCAGACGCCTCGGGGTGATCGTGTGATCGCGTGCTATTCTTAACACAGACTATCTCTGGTCTTGCACTATGTCCACACACACACACACACACACACACACACACACACACACACACACACACACACACACACACACACACACACACACACACACACACACACACACACCTACCTGCGGATGAGGCGTAAAGCACATCGGCAATGTGCTGAAACTTGGCGGAACGCAACAACGCTGACAGCCCGCACCCATCTTGTGGAGATTCCACCACGGCATGTGTTGACCTGAAAGAAACGTACGAAGAAGCAAGGCAACAACCCAGCGGCCCAGCGGTATGGCATAGCACACGGCGTCAGTGGCCGCCAGAACAGCAATCGCGGCAGCTGTCCAAAACGACCACACAACAGCACGTCCGCACATCAAACGAAACCCCAAGAGCGTCCTCTTCTGCACACACACACACACCTGACATCGGGCGGATCTGCACCGAGGAGGTGCGCCGTTGTGAACAGGGCGTTGGTGATGGCCGTCAGTACATTCGGAGTGCCCGTGGTCACCTTCGCGCGTGCTCGCCCCTCGCTCTTCAGCGTGCCGTGCAGCCGCAGCCACAGCGTGTGCAGCCGTGGGCGTGATCTGGGATTGGACAATCAAATAGCAATGGAGAATGCACAGAACGGGATGGGATGGGAGGACGAGGGAAGGAGGGGTTGCGGTGTACGCACGTGCGGTGAGCTGGCATGAGTCTTGCGGCACTCGTGTGTGAAAGCTGGGTTTTGTGTGTCAGCGCATTGCATTGCATTTGAAGACAAGAACAGCAACACACTTCGTGAAGAGGAAGACGGGCTGTTGGGCATCATCTGAGAACAGCGTGTTGATGGCGGTGTGAGCAGCCGAGAGGAAAGGACAAGTGGGGCAGTCAGACAGGAGGACAGGCAGGGTATGGTCGCAAATGCACACGTGCATATACACACACATACATGCACATACACATACGTACGCATGCAAATACATGCGCATGCACATGCGCTCGCATCACCATGACAACCCCCACGCACGACGCACTTTGCACGATGAGCACGTCGGCATCTGGGCTGTCGAAGATGGCGTTTTGTGTCGTGTTGATGAGGTGGTGTGAGCGACCAACACCAACGCTGTAGCCAAGCTGCACAGCTTGCAGCACCACCGCCGTCTGACGGGGGAATGAATGCACGCGATGGCGTGTGGATGCAAGGGTGGTTAGTGGGAGGAGGGGGTGAATGTAGGAATGTGGCTGGGGCGGAATCGACGATGAGGTGTGGTGGAAAGGACTGAGGGAGGGGGAAAAACAGTGAATGGAAGGTGTGACGAAAAGCTGTGGGGGTGAGAAGTCACAGCGGCACCAACACACAGGGAGACGGACAGTGGTAAGATGGAGTGAGGCTCGTTGTGTTGTGCTGAACTCACCACGGCAGTTAGCGTGTCCGTTTGGGACGTGGAAGGTCTGTAAGCAAGCAGAGCACAAGAAGAAGCAAGAAGATGCAGATGATGACAACACGCTAAGACACGCACACGTACACACGCACGCACACTCACTCACACACACTCACACACACACACACACACGCACGCACACAATCACACGCACGTGCGAGCGCACACACATACATACACAAGCATAAATAAAGTGACGTACGGTTCGTGCCAGACGTGGAGACGGAGGGTGGTGAGCCAGTGCCATACGGAGGGATCACGCGTCACAAACAACACGTCGTGGTTGAAGGCGTCCGCGTGACACGCCGTCACCAGCGACGCTGGGACCTGAATCGTAGAGCACGACATCAAGGCGGGAACAAATGCCAGGCGGTTCAATACGTGCAAGAAGAAACTCGAGCTTTCCGCAGGTTCTTGTGCACCAGATAATCAGTTGCCTGCAAGCAAACAGGCACACATGTCTCGTTCGTGTGCGTGTCATGTTCCCCTTTACCTCGGCAAGGTCCTCGATTGGATATATCAGCACAAACCGCTGGCTGTGGAGGATGCTGTGTGCTTTGAACAGTAACAAATCAAGTGACTGCTTGTTGGGAACAAAGCGAAGCTGCTGCGCCTCTTCCGTTTCTGCTGTCGTCGTCATGTAATCTTCCCTGAGACCACTCGCCTTGCTCACCTTGTATGTATGTATGCGTGTATGTATGTGTGTGTGTGTGTGTGTGTGTGTGTGTGTGTGTGTGTGTGTGTGTGTGGAATTCGTGTGTGTGTGTGTATGTGTGTGTGTATAGCCCGTGAAGAGAGAAAAGTGAGGGATGGAGCGAGCACACGGGATAGCAAGCAAAGGTGCAAGAGAGAGCGGCAAGCATTGATAATCCACGGAAACACAAGGTGACAACGCACATGCGTCCTCATACCTCGCCTTCAAAGTACCATGATGGCAGCCGAAGCAAGTTTGGGTGCTGATTAATGTCCTCAATTGCAAGCTTTGCGGACCGCTGGACCGCTGCCTGCTCTTCGTCATTCGCAGCTGTGCTGTTGGCACCATCAGGCAAGGCGCGCGTGCGTGTGCCTTCAATATCACCCTTCATGCCCGCATCACACTGCCACCTCTCCCATGTGTCGGGTGCAAACGCCACGACATCCACCTCGTCCAGCCGCCCGAGCCACACCGTGCCCCTCATCTGCACGTGGTCGTTTGCGTGCACGCGCTGGTGCGGTAGACGTTGTGCAAGCTCCACGTTGTGGTCTGTGCCGGCCTTTGCGTGGCTGGCCTTGTATGTGCCGTGGTGCATGTGCAGCCCCAGCGTGACGTGTGACACCTCGACGGTGGTGACTTGCGGGTCCACAATCATCTTGAGCAGCAGCCACTGGTCCCACTGTATGCGGCCAACCATGAACTTGGGCACCTGACAAACGCAACAGCAAACGATGTGACGCAGGGCACAAATGTGGGTGAGGAAATGCACAGCACAGACGATTGGGTGTGCGTGCGTGTGCGTGTGTATGTCAAAGCAAGGACGATGACAACCATCATTTGTTTCGTCCATCACCACCATCATCATCATCACCAGCACCACCGCCACCACCAGCACCACCATCATCATCTTAGCTGACCGTGAAGCGCAGGTCGCGAGGGAACAGCATAAAGTCGATGCCATTTCTGTCGTGGTTGAGGGCCCCAGGCAACGTGGTCTGCCACGCCTGCAACAAATGCACACACCTGCGTAGACGCATGTATGTGCGCGCGCGCGTGTGTGTGTGTGTGTGTGTGTGTGTGTGTGTGTGTGCGTGTGTGTGTGCGTGTGTGTGTGTGTGTGTGTGTGCGTGCGTGTGTGTGTGTGTGTGTGTGTGTGTGAAGCAGAGTCAACAGGTGTCGCCATGCAAGCTCTTCAGCAAGCGCCTGCAAACGGGGGCGTGCTGTGCGTGCTTGCAAGCAAGCAAAATAGCCACGCGCAAACGTACTCTTTGTTCTTTTCAATACAGGTGGCTGCCTCTGCAACAAAGTGGTCTTCAAAACTAGATGTAGCCTGCACGCAGCATCAGAAGGAAGGGGTGAGTTGGTGATGGTGGGGTGAGCACAGTGAAGCAGGCAAGCAAGCACGACATGTACGTGGCATTGGAAGATCTTGTGTACCTGAAGGGTTAGATCGATTCGTTTGCCAACGGCAAAGAAGGCATCACCAAAAGCACCCGCAATCTAGAGGTTGACAGTGGATGCAGAGCAAAGGTGAGACGCCAGAGGCTTGTGTGTGTGTGTGTGTGTGTGTGTGTGTGTGTGTGTGTGTGTGTGTGTGTGTGTGTACAGTCGGGATATGTGGGCATGCTTGAGGTTGCATGGAGACACAAACCTGATGAACGGTGCTGGCGAGGTTTGGAAAGTAAACGACGTCCGAGTTTGAATACATGATGGTGTTCGCCTTTGCCCTCTGCGACATGATTGCGTGCATGCAAGCGAATACGGGCATGAAGAGCATGAGCGCATGAGCGCATGTGAATGTGTGAGTCAATGACTATATGTGTAGATATGCGCACGTGCGCGATAGTGTGTAGGTACCTTTTTGACATCACGGAAGGGGCAGTCGAGCGTTGGCACGCCACGCTGTTGCAAAGCGTACAGTGTGCATGTGGGTGAGCAGAGGCGGGACTGGATCGTGTTGGTGTGAGTACAGTGCCAACGTGCAGGAACGAATGTAGTGAGAGTAAGGCCAACCGCGCATACACAAGGATACACACACACAACGTACACATGCAGGGCACATCATAGCATGCACATAACACACACGCACACACACATGCACACACATAACACACACGCACACACATTCACACACACAACACATGCACACACATGCACACACACACACACAACACGCGTCAACTGCTCACTTCACGGCAGAGGATGGGGCGGCAGGTGAACATGCCGTAGTACGTGCGCTGCTGGAAGGCAATGTGCACGACCTGGCACGTGTCCTCGTTGGCAAAGGCAATAATCTCCACCTGCACCCACACGGCAATTCAAAGCAGCAGGTCAAAGGACAGCAGAGCCAGCATGCGTGAGTGGTGGGTAGAGGCGAACACACGGCGGGCGGGCAGGCCTGCACAACCGCTCTCAACGTTCAGAGGCAGATACGGTACAGGAGTGCAAACATGGAAGCATGTCACTCACGCCAAGAACCGCCCAGCTGAGCAGGGCGAGGAGCGTTCGCTTGGATTGCGATTGCAGATGCCGCAGTGCTGCATCACATGAGGAGAAGATGGAAGAAGAAGGGGAGGATGAGCAGGAAGAGGAAGAAGTGCAGGGCTGAGTCTTCGAGAGAGAGAGAGAGAGAGATGCGCAGAGACATGACACTGAGAAGAAGGAGAAGACAACGCACGTATACACATGCGCACACATACACACACAAACACACACACACACACGCACATATACACGCACACAAACACACACACGCGCACATATACACGCACACAAACACACACACGCGCGCACACACACACACACACACGCACGCACGCATGCACACACGCATGCCCAAACGCACACGCGCAAACACAAACACGCACGCACGCATGCACACACATACACCATGCATGCTGACCTGTCGGTGAAGAGAATTGCGATGATGAGAGTGGTGAGAGGTCGGGGAGGATGGTGAAGATGGTCAACCACGGCCTGGTGACGTCGTGATGCGATGAAGGGCCGCGAGTGATCTTCTTTGGCCTCTGCATGTTGGTTGGGAGCGGGTGGTTGGAGTGGTCCGGGTGTCTTTGATGCCGGAACAACGGATATCGTGGCTGGTGAGGGCGACCGTTGCGTGCATGCACGCGGTTGGCTCCACTTGCGCCGTCCTCAGCGCCACGGCTCCTGCCCGCTGCCGTCAGCAGCGAGTGTGGCAAGGCCAGGTGCTGGTGCTGGTGCTTGCGGTGGTGCTGCTGCGCCAGGAACATCTGCCCGGCGGTCACAAACACCACCGCCAGCCCCAGCGTCAGCGCGATCAACCTGCGCCAGCGGACACAGCAACAGAGGAAAGAACAAAGGCGCATGCATACATGCATGCAGGCAACAAGATGTATCGTGAGCGGGAGTGGGGGGGGTTACGGTTGGTGGTGGGGTCAGGCAGCCTGGGGAAGGCACTTTGATCTCTCCTGTCCCTCAAACACACACACAGATGGGACGTACGTCTTCCAGCCCATCCTTCTTCTCTTTGCATCCTCCGTTTTTTTGTCAGTGGCGAACGACCAATGGCGTGCTTTGCGTTGTTGCTTTCCTTTTGATTGCTTTTGCTTGCTTGCTTGGAGCGAACACACCACGCACGACACAAGAACACGCATCAGTGTCACGTCAACCCAAGCACACACGCATGCACCCATGCACACACACACACATGCACACATGCACACACACGCACACACGTCAACCCAAGCACACACGCATGCACACATGCACAGAGTGGTCAGTAGAGAAGAAAGTGCTGTCTGGTGTGCATGAAGCGTTGGAGGGGCGGCTGCCACGCAGCAACGATGGCGTGGATCGAATCCCCGCGCGTGAGCATGAGCCTGGTCGAGTTGTTACCCAAGTGCAGGTCAAAGTCTGCGTCAAACAGCTGCATGGACGCTGGGCTGGCACGCAGGCCAACCTGCACAACCGCCAGGCCCCAGGCAATTGGATTGAACACGCTCGGGTCAAGCACATACAGCTCGGCACCCGTGACCACATCGCCAGCAAACTTGGAGAAGGTGGGCACAAAGTACGCCTCCCGAACAGCAGCGCCGGCAAAGAGATCACCATCGCCATCACTGCCGCTGTGCTTTGCGCTGTTCTTCGTGTTGGTGCTCGTGGTGGTGCTCGTGGTGCTGTTGCTAATGGTGTTCTTCGTGGTGGTGGTGGTGGCGCTGTGGTGGGACAGGTCTGCGGTCATTGTGATGGTTGTGGCTGCGGTTGCTTGGTGCAGGCTGTCGATGAAGGTGTAGTTGAAGAAGCCCGCCCCAAACAGGTTGAACGGGGACGTCGTGCCGCGCCCCTCAGACATGTTCGTCCCTTCAATGATGCCCAGCCCGGGGTACACCAGCGCTGTGTTGAGCGTGGGCATGTTGGGCGAAGGCGGCACCCACGGCACGTGCGTGTCAGAGTACAGCATGCTGCGCTCATAGTTGAGCATTGTCACCGTGGTCAGCTTGAACGCGTGTGTGCCAGTAGACAACGACGCGCCCCACGATGCTGATGCTGATGATGGTGATGATGGTGATGAAGTTGAAGCCGATGAAGGGGATGTTGATGGTGGTGAAAACGATGTTGATGCGTTTCGCTGTGCGCTGACGAACAACGTCGCGAGCTCTGCGACGGTCATGCCGTGGCGGAGTGGGATGGCGTATCTGCCAATGAACGAGGAGAATGCCTCCTCCAGCACGGGCCCTTGCACAATGTTCGCCCCAATGGGGTTTGGCCGGTCCAGCACAACAAGGTGCGGGATGGTGGTGTTGGGCAGCGCACTCATCACATCCCACAGCGTCCAGATGTACGTGTAGAAGCGGCAGCCCACGTCCTGGATGTCGAACACCAGCGTGTCGAGCTTCTCGGCCTCCAGCACCTTGGCCAAATCTGGTCCCTGCGCGTGCGTGCGTGTGTTGGGAGGGGGTAGGGAGGAGACGTGTGTCAGTGTGGAGGACAGGGTGGAAGCGCAAGCATTGAAAGGGTGGAAGCGCAAGCATTGAAAGGGTGGAAGCGCAAGCGTTGAAAGGGACTCGCACCTTGAGCCAAGCACGCGACACCCAGTCATGTACATGTACGTTCCCACATTTGCATACACGCTGGCTCTCACATATTTGCGGTAGAGGCTGTAGACGGGGAGGCCAGTGCGGTTGTCTGTGTAGACGTCGCCAGAGCCGTGTCCAGCCTGGTGGTCGCCACGAAAGCCGTGCTCGGGCCCATAGATGGACACCAGATTCACCTGGGCAAACGCAGCGGTGGACACAGCGAGCGAGCATGAGCTGACATGACAACGAAGCGTGCTTCAGTGATGCAGAGCGGGGAACACGGTCAAGCTGACGTGCAGGAAGGCAAGTGTTGTGTGCGTACGCACATCGGGTGCCGTGTGCAGAAAGTCGACGATATGCGTCAAGTTATTGAGGATGCCTGTGGGGTTTGAGATGATGCCGACGCGGCCTGTCCAGGAGGAGGCCGGGTGAGTCGGGGTTGGTGGGGGTTGGTTGGGCGGGGGGTGAGAAGAGAAGAAGGGGTGTGACAATTGTGAGCTGGTGAGCTTGTGAGCTTTAGAACACACACACACACACACACACACACACACACACACACACACACACACACACACACACACACACACACACACACACACACACACACACACACACGCACACACACACCCTGGAGGGTGGCTTGTCGCAGGCTGGCGTCTGTCGCCAAGCGCTGTGCGCCAGTGATCACGCCTGGTTTTGCTCCAACAACACCAACACCAACACCGCCACCAACACCGCCACCACAACAGCAGCACGCCAACACGGCGGCCACCACTAACACCACACTGCGCATTGTTGTCTGTTTGTTTGGATTAACGACGACGAACGGAGAAGCAACAGTGCTGGTGACAATGATGATGGTGAGTGGACAACGGGCACTGTTGGCGGTAGCAGGGCTGGGCTGGTCAAGTCGCGCTGCTACAACTGCTGCTACTGGTGCTGCTTCTACAGCTGGTGCTGCGATGATGACAGCGGCGGCTGGGCTGCAGCGGCTCTCCACAGTGACGCGCCTAGGCCGCTGTTGTTTGCCCGTGGTGAGGTGTTTGACTGCAGCAACGGTCACCACAAGAACCTCGACGATGGTGACACACGGAACCGCTGACACGCAGAGACAGTGCCGCTGTGCAGGGCCGGCGCTGGGGTTGCTGCCACCGCTGGGCGTGGTGCTGCCGCCGCTTGTTGGTGCTCGATCCCTGCACACGCTCCCGCGGGCGTTGGGCAGGTATGGCCCAAGCAAGCAGGTTCAACAACAGCATCGACAAAGAGCCGAGCGGGAGACCGCGTATCGCGACATTGATGAGATGGACTTCGGTCCGCAGCAGGATGCGAGGCAATCCGACGCTCGACAGGACAGGCCAGCGTTTCATGCACGCAAAACACCGCCGCCGTCAGCAAGGGAAGAGCACTACCATCGGTATGGTGATGAGCAGGATGACGCCGGAGGAGACTCGGGTTCTAGGCGTCGGGGTCTTGGTGGCTGGATCTTGACCATGATGAAGTGGCTGCTGTTCGCCAGCATCGTCTCCTTCTTCACCATTCTCGCCGTTCAAGACGATACAAGCGATGTTCTCACCGTTGAAGTCATGGAGGACGCAAACGTCGCCGAGGTGCGTGCATGTGGGTGTGTGTGTGTTTGTTTGTACATGTGTTGTGTGTGTGTGTGTGTGTGTGCGTTGTGTGTGTGTGTGTGTGTGCGTTGTGTGTGTGTGTGTGTGTGTGTGTGTGTGTGTGTGTGTGTGTGTGTGTGTGTGTGTGTGTGTGTGTGTGTGTGTGTGTGTGTGTGTGTGTGTGTGTGTGTGTGTGTGTGTGTGTGTGTGTGTGTGTGTGTGTGTGTGGTTGACTTGATGTGTAACCCCCCCCCCCCCCTTTGCTCGGTTTTGTTGACGACTGCTTCCCCACTTCCTTGCTTACCTCGAGCTCACAAACTGCCAATCCCCTCCCCACCCCACCCCCATCCTATCTTGCGGCTCGATGGCGTGACATGGTGTGCGCACGCAGTTCATGTTGAAGAAGGAAGCGCTTGAGCGGGCTGTGCAGAAGTTCACACAGGCGCCACTGGTCGAGAGCTACATCGGCAAGCCACGGCACATGACCCTCTTCCCCATGTACTCCCTGCCGGGCACCTTTGTGCCAGAGCACGAGCGCAGCCTGGAGCCAAACTACGACCTTGTTGCGCCGTGTCGCAAGCCCCACGCCAACCTCAACCACTGGTACCCATCCGTTCTCCTCTACTGCAACCACACCACGTAAGTGGAGAGCGTGCCTTTGTTTGCTTGTGCGTGTGCGTGTGTATGTGTGTGTGTGTGTGCGTGTGTGTGTGTATGTGTCTGTGTCTGTGTGTCTGTGTGTCTGTGTGTCTGTGTGGCTGGCTGTCTGGCTGTCTGTGTGTCTGTCTGGCTGTCTGTGTTTATGTCTTTGTGTGTGTGTGGGTGTGTGTGCATCAGCGTTTGTAGCTGCTTTCTCCCCCCTCCCCACCTTGACGCAACCTTTTCATCCCACCTTCCACCTCCATTCACAGGTTTCTACTGCACTTCCATTTTGAGCGGCGGTCTGAGGAGCCTGGCTACTTCCTGCAGGGCATCCGCGTGTTCAAGCTGAATGCAGAGCTGAAGTACGAGGAAGGTGGTCCGCCACCGCTGGGACTCGAGACGATGAGCGTCCTGCATGTGCCCGCAGCCGCGCTGGGTGATGAGACGCCCGAGGACGCAGGGGATGAGGGGGATGGTGGGAAGAAGAAGAAAGGAAAGTAGACAACTGCTGATGCATGCGCGTGTGTGTGTGTCTGTCTGTCTGTCTGTCACACCCGTTAGCTTGCTTGCTTGCTGCTGTCATGCCACGCGTTCGTTGCACCACAAAGAGAAAGAAGCTTGCTCGAATCACTTGACATGATACCATCACCATCATCATCATCGTCATCAAATCATCATCGTCATCGTTCTGTAAAACCCCGAAGGCGCCAAAAACACACACACATACTACACATTCCACAGACGCACGCACTCAACTATCACAACATTCCACAGACGCACTCATGCACCCGATGGTGGCGGTTGCGAGCGCAGTGCTGGCGCTACTCTGTGTGCGGCTGGCTGTTGCTGTGCCCATCGAGGCAGCCCTGTGCCCTGCCAACTCAAAGGTGAGCTCAGGGCTGTTGGACGTGTGTGTGTGTGTGTGTGTGTGTGTGTGTGTGTGTGTGTGTGTGTGTGTGTGTGTGTGTGTGTGTGTGTGTGTGTGTGTGTGTGTGTGTGTGTGTGTGTGTGTGTGTGGAGGAGGGAGGCTTTGCGTTTGTGCACTGTGACTGTCGTTGACCCCCACCACACCACGCAACATGCGCGTGCCCGTGTCCTTCTTCTTCCTCTGGCCACTACGCAGGAAGCCGTGTCTCGGGCAGGCACCTTCTGCATTTGCGTGGATGACTTTGACTGTGAAGGCGCCGCGTGCAAGACAGGCCATCTTGGCGGGAGCTTCATTCAAGGTTGTGTGTGTGTGTGTGTGTGTGTGTGTGTGTGTGTGTGTATGCTTTGACACATCCGTGCACTCACCACTCCAGCACCCCACCGTTTACACCTTGTTTGTTGTCCAGGCTTCTCAACCACATGCTTGGATTGCAAGTGCACCACAAAGCAGAAGACAGGTGCATCCAGCGCACAAGGGAACTCTGTGGCAACGGCAGCTCATTCAACAGAACCACACGCAACCAAGGCAGTGGCGCCCACGCACGCTCGTGCCTCACCACGAGCAGCTTCAGTCGCAGCACTCGAGGATGGCGGCGGCGGCGGTGGTGGTGGTGGAGGTGGGCAGAGGGATGTCATTCCCAACATTATCTTCATCAAGGCGTTCAAGGTTGCATCCACAACCATCGCATCCGTCTTCCAACGGCTGCAAGAAGAGAAGCACTTGAAGGTGAGTGAAAGGTGCATATGAGTGTGAGTTGGTACACCTTGGCGCGATAGAGAGAGAGAGAGAGAGAGAGAGAGAGAGAGAGAGAGAGAGAGAGAGAGAGAGAGAGAGAGAGAGAGAGAGAGAGAGAGAGAGAGAGAAACAGCAACACCCTCATGTCAATTCAATAGCATTACCCAGTAATCCATCGTTCACACGTGTGTTGCGTTGCGTCTGTCTTGTGGTCTCGTGCTGCCAGGTTGCCAACCGCTACAACTCTGTCCAGCTTGGCATGGATGCCACCTTCAACCTCATCTACGGTCACAACTTCTTCGATCACGGCACCTCGCCAGGCGGCAGCGTCGTTGGCTGTCATGTCCACCAGAACCAGGACGGATCATGGACGGTGCGCGAGAGAGTGTGTGTGTATGTGTATGTGTGCGTGTGTCTTGGGGCAACGAAGGGCGTGCTGACATGTCATGTCTGTTATGTGTGCGCGTACTCAAACTGCCACTCTGCTCTGCTCTTCCTTCAGTACTGTGGCGGATATCAGCCGTGGATGGATGAATACGTCCCCAATGCCGTCCACCTCGTCATGGTTGCCGAACCCATGGAGAGGTGCATCCATGTTAAAGCATGTTCATGTGTGTGTGTGTGCCTGTGTGTGTGTGTGTACGTGACAGGTACGTCGTCACAACAACAACAGTGGGCAGCGCATTCTCATAGCTTGCTCACCACGCGCGTTCTGCGTGTGTGTTAGGGTGGCGAGCATGTACTACTACGAGTCATCGTACACGAAACTAAAGGACCGACTGCCAGGCGATACGCAATACCTCCGCATGAACGACAGCCCACGCTTTGAAGGTGAGAGCGATGAAGCTTGGGGTGAAACGTGGCAATCAGAAACATGGCTTGCGAGACACAGGGTGAAAGGGGGAGGGGGTGTTTCAGCAACAGGGCAGCGACGCGATCCAAACACACACACACACACACACACACACACACACACACACACACACACACACACACACACACACACACCACCACCACCACCACCACACACACACACACCACCACTTTTGTTGCGTAATTAGTGACGGCGTGCCCCTAATTCATACTCAATCGCACTTGGCCATCCCAAGGAAGTTCGCGGGAACAGACACCTTCCAGCTGTAACCCGTGCCATGAGCGTAGTGGTTATGTCCGGGCGAGCCGAAACGAATGTAGCTACGAAGGCTGGAGTCACGCAAGCATTGACTAAATCGGAGGTTTCCGGCCGGATGCGCGTCGAGCCAATAGTGCAGTATGCTTGAATGTTGGATCCCACTCAGTCAGAGAGGGGGGATTCGTATCCTCGACCGCCACCCTCTTTCGGTCTAGCGTTGTAACTACATGCTCTCCAAGCGGGCCTGTTGGCATTGAGGTACCTGATTCTGAAGTCTTCCCGGCGATCCCCAGAATGTAATTCGTTACCGTTTCCCGGTAGAAGCAGCTATAACCCGCCCTCCCTTCCTTATGTTTAGGGTCGGGATACATCCGACTCATAATGGCCCGATCGGGCGTCAGAATGGAAATTGGGAAGACACCGATGACAATGGGGCCAAGCACCTTGCTACACTACCTGGCATAACAGTTATCCTCACTGGCTTCATTCCGCTCTCGACTGTTTACCCGCGTTTTGGCAACCCCGGTGGGTGGGGTCACACGACACACACACACACACACACACACACACACACACACACACACACACACACACACACACACACGCGCGCGCGCGCGCACATGGCACCACACACGATTGAAATCACCCCCCCCCCCCCCCAATGTTGCGCCTAACCCTGCCACAAATGGCAACGAACTGCCTGGTGTCAGGCTGCGGGAGACGACCAAGTATCTTGGGTGTTACTCCGACCTGAAAGGCGATGGTGGACGCTTCTTCCTCAAGCTCATGTCCAGGAAACTCACCCTCAACGACTGCTGGGTAAGAAGGGCATGGTTGTGGTGTGGGCAGGCATGTTTGTTGAGTGCAAAGTCGTACTCATTGTGGGGTGCACAGTTTACACGGGCGTGCATGCGCATGTGGCGGTGAGTGCTGATGGCTATGCATGCAATGCACAACTGCATTCCCTGTCCACAACAGCGGCGGTGCCAGCGCGATTCGCTCCCGTATGCAGCCCTGTACTTTGGCGACAACTGCTACTGCGGCAAACACCCTCCAAGGTCTGCAATGCAAGTGGCATGGCTTGATGCTGCACATCCTCACCTGAGTTGTGTTTGCTTCTTGCTTTCTTTGGAGCGATTGAGGGCCTTGTCCTTGCTGCTGACCGTTTTCTGCCTATCACCCGCTCACCCTCACCCTCACCATCACCATCACACCCACGCTCATCGTTGCTCGGCCCCTCACCTGCATCCACACACACCCCTCACAACCATCGCCATCCCGGCTGCCAGGGAGGATGCGCGTGTGGAGGAAGATGGCCACTGCAACAAACCGTGTGCAGGCGAGCCGTCGCGCATTTGTGGCGGTGGCGCCTTCTACAGCGTTTACCAGGAACTTCCACAGGGCAATGCATCAGGGCAGCCCATTCTCGAGATCCCAGATGACATGGTGCTGTGAGAGGAGTGTGTGTGTGTGCGTGGAGGAGAGGGGGGGGGGGAGATGCTGCTCTGCTGCTGGTGGTGATGACGGTACACGGTCGTGTGTTTGTGCGCTGTCAAGGCTCCTGTTGGGTCGCCGGTAATCAACTTTGCTTCAGCTTCATTCTCGTTGATTCAATGGAATGACTCCTTTCCTTGTATTTGGTAGGGTAACACGACTAGCTGTACACATGTGCAAAGTGATGAATGAACAGTTCAAACCAGCCCACAGACAATACCAAGCGTGAATGAAACACGAAAGCGAGTGCAACAAGTGTAGGTGCATCAAATGAGCGGCATAAACGTATGGACAAAGATGTGAAGCTTGACAGCAGCGCCACCACACAATATGGACATTGAGAGGAAAGTGGGTGGCGGGTTGTCGTTGTTATGTACAGGCAAGGGCAAGCTCGAGTGCAAACTGGCCAGACAACACCGCCAGCAGCGCAAAACACGGGGGTCATTCGCGTTGGTGCGTGCATCATCACTCCGACGGTGCCAGGACACGCGAGAGGGAGGCAGTCATATCCACGAGCAAGTCCTCGAAAATGGCTTCTGCAACCTGTTGATGGATGCAAACAGCCATTTGGTGAGTCCAGGCGGCGTAAACGAAGCAAACGGGCATGTGATAGACAAGACACACGCACACACACACGCACACGCACACGCACACGCACACCCACCCACCCACCACACACCCCCCCCCCACACACACACACACACCTCTAATTTGACTGCTGCTCTGCTGTGCGCCATTGTGTCTGTGATGTCGCGGTCACGAAGCTGATGAAGAGAAACAAGGACAAGACAGGAAGGTGAATGTGAGAAAACCAACGTCACACACACACACACACACACACACACACACACACACACACACACACACACACACACACACACACACAGCACATTCCTGCTGTAAGACACCCTTTTCAGTGCACTTCTCTTGGCTCCGCGATCACATTATTCATCACACCACACGTCTCCATGTGCTCCTGCGTGGCCACAGCTGTCCCACCCGCGCTTCAGTGCGTGGTCTGCAGATGCGCAATCGATGGCAAAAGAGCTGGTTGACGCGAGCGGTGATGCCGAATACTATCAAGCCGTCCTCGACAAGTTTGAGCAGCAGGTGTGTGTGTGCGTGTGTGCGTGTTTGCGTGTGTGCATGTGTGCGGGTGTGTGTGTGTGTGCGGGTGTGCGGGTGTGCGTTGAATGAATGGTCGCGTCTGTGCTTTGTATGTGACCGCACATGTTGCATATGCGTGTTGTCAACTCATCATCGTTCAACCTCGATGCGTCACCATCAGGTGCGAGACTATGGCGAAGAGCAGCTGGCTGAGGACACGGCCAAGTTCCGCAAACTCCTAGATCGCTTGCAACGCGAATGCGAACACACGTTCATCTCCACAGAGACGCTCCACATCCCCGATCAGGTCCGCAGTCGTGGTAGTGGTGGTGAGTGTGTTTGCGTGTGCGTGTTTGTATGTGTGTGTGTTTGTGTGCTTACGCTCTGCGTACTCTGTCGTTGTGGGTTGCTGTTGCCCTTCATGAGCACAGCTGTAAGGTTGTACACTTGCCATCTCACTTGGGTTGTTGCCAGGTCTACTGTCTGCTGAGAGCATACGATGCCGCGTATTCACGGTAATGCTCTCATACACATACGACGAAACGCACACACACACACACACACACACACACACATGGCACCACACACACATGGCACCACACACACACACACACGCACACACGCACACACGCACACACGCACACACGCACACACGCACACACGCACACACACACACACACACACACATACATACACACACACGCACGCACACACACCTATTTTTGCTCTTATGTGCGCATCCGATCGCATACACACACTCTCACACATGTGCAAACATGCTGCGAACAGGCCCAGGTCAAAACACTTGCAGTGCGTGCGCAGAGATTGGAGGCAACACAGCAAACTCACGAACACGTGACTCAAGCCGCGGCATCTGCTGCCCGTGAAGGCATTCGTGACCTGCAGGCTGTTGGGGCCATGCTTGAGTCTGTGTTCTTCAGCGGTGGCACAGAGAGGGGATGGCGCTGGCGTGGCTGCGGCGTCAAGCGTGCTCACGGGTCTGGCGCCGGTTGTTGGGCACGTGCGAGGCCTGTGAGCAACAGTCGTCATCAGCGGCAGGAGTGTCGGAGGAACAGGTCAGCAGCGACACGAACGGGGAG